TACGGAGGAACATTCTAATGAAGGGTTCACAGTTAAGATGTTGCTACTCCACAGCTATACTGGATATAACTGATCTGGGTCCTATGGGATGCCTACTTCTCTCTGCTCCAGCCATGGTAGAAGCAAAGAGTGGACCCACAGGGAGAAAACATTTTCTCCTCGAGAATGGTCAGCCAAGCTGATTGGCCAGCAACTAGAGCAGTCTCCATATATTGTGGGCGCTGCTCAGACTGCAAGCAATCCCACAAGGAAAACAGCAATTGATTCTCAACTCAGGTAAGTCTGGGACTTTCGAGCAGGATGGGAAGTGTGTTTAGTACCCCTGGATAGGAGGTGGTGGATTAAGGGGCCAGGCTGGGAGGCACAAAAGGGTGTATCATCTTTTGGAGGCAAGTTCGGAATGCTGCCAATGTGTCCAAGGCAACTCCTCCCAAAGGATTAACACCCCCTTCCTCACCTCAAATGGTAAAACCCTGGCCATAAATGTTTTATTGCTTCAGGGATGGTGTTGTTTCAAGTACATGGTGGCAACAGAAAATCTGAAGTCTATGCATACAAAACATATCAAATATCAATATGGGGAGGTGGTGGCCCAATGGTGTTATCACTAGACTTTTAATCTAGAAACCTAGATAATTTCCTGGGGAACTGGCTTCAAATCCTGCCATGGCTACTGGTGAAATTTGAAATCAATGAAAATCTGTATTTAAGAATCTAATCACAAACCGTTACGTTCACTAGTGTTCTTCAGGGATTGAAACTGCCATCCTTTGCTGTGGGTCTGGAGTCAGACCAGATAAGTGGCTGACTCTTAATTGTCCTCTGGGCACTTACGGATGGGCAATAAATGCTGGCCTAGCCAGTGACACCTTCATCCCGCGAATAAATTAAAAATAATAGGAGCAGAAGTAGACCAAATGATCATGATCTGTTCATATTTCACATTCTACAGATAACTTTCTTATCTAATAAGGATCTATCCGCCTCCATCTTAAAAATAGTCAATGAGTCCACTTCTTTCACTTTGAAGCAGAAAGTTGCAAACTTACTCAACCCTCCAAGAGATAATATTTCTCCTCATTTATGTCCAAAAAGGATTTTAAAACATTAGGAGGCCACTACTGCCAATTTGATTCTTCCAGTTTAAATGCAGACTAAACTTACCTGTGATTATTGATGTCCCTTTATCACAAGCACCTAGTACTTTTGTCTTGTATACTTTGGCCCACATTATGGTTTCTGTTAGGATCCTATCGATCACTCCCTCTAGTGATTTATCCTCCCTACTATTCCTCATTTCCACACAAACAAATTCTACATTCTTATCTCCTGAACTGAAGTCACCTCTAACAGTTGCATAAATGCAATTCTTAATTAGCATTCTACCCCTCTACCTTTATCTAGCTTCCTAATCGTCCTGAATCTCAAATACTGTCAATACCCTCAGCACCCAATCCTTGTGATCTGCTGCCACATCTCTGTAATGGCCATCAGATCATATTGATTTACTTCATTGTGTGCTAACAATTCATTTGCTTTGTTATGAATGCTACATGCATTCAAATATAGATCTTTTAATTTTGTGTTTTTGTAATCTATTTTAGTTTTGATTTTAGACATATTCCTAGGCTTTGTTCCCTCTGTCCCCTCTTGCCATTCTCATCCTAGCAACTCATCACTCAGGCTGTATGTCTACATGCAATGTATTTTATTAGCTGCACCTCTAGATCATCACTATTTAAATGATTGTTGTATCTCAGGAGTCTATACCTGAGAATGCAGCAATGGTTCTATACAGAGTTTACCACACAATTCTGAACTTAATATTTATACAAGCCACAAATGTATACTCTCTAAAATATTATCTCTCACTGGAAAAATTCTGTATATGGGTAAGCAATCAGAATTCAAAAGAAAATGATTTGGAATTCACTTCATTGAGGAAAAAATGAATGGATTTATGTCCTCAGCCAATATTTATAGATTGAGTTATGGAAAGATGTTGGAGCTCTGTGTGATACATAGTTTGCCATCAACTCAGTGGAGTGTGGAAACTACAAAATCTATTGTGGAATGTAGGTCTTGAATGGATTTGTAGTTTGAACATTTGCTTTGCACAATTGGTGATGGAGCATTGTCTGATTCAAGTACAGGATAAAAGTTATTATTTTAAGCAACATTGATGACAGTAAACTTCACATGATTAGACTATTAGGAGAAAAATTTGAAGCAACTCTTTCTAATTGTATACATGTACATATAAACATATCAATATTTACTTCAGTCTCTAAGGCAGAGTGAATTTACAAATATTCAAATGAAAGTACAAAGTCGAGTGGTGAATCCTATAACAATGAAAGAAACAGAGTCTAACTAGAAAACGTCATAGCCTGGTTATGAGACCGCAGGTTTCTGCAAAACAGACTGGTATCACTTTTATCACATCAGCTGTGAGTGACAAATGATGTTTTGTGAAGCCTTAATGCAATGTAATGCGTATTACATTGTTATATTGGGTAGCAAAGTTTGCAAAATTTTTTTCTTTACTTTTTACGTTGTTCAAATTGATCCTTTGCTGACACAGCACATCTTTTAGCCCATTGCAAATAGCTGTCCTTTTTGTACTGATGACGTACAACTATTAATAAGCTACATCTGTAACATCTGAAATGAATAACTTGAACAGAAATTCCACTTCAGGCTCTGCATCTTTAAACTAATAATGGAAATGCTTTGATCTGGATGTGTTACATTTCAAAATGATGTTGAACTATACTTTAATTCTAAAGGGAAATTAAATATTGGTTATCCATAATTAGAAAGACCAGAGGTTCAACTTTTTACAGTTTTTCGAAAGGTCAGATTGGGATACAGTACAATCTAATAATGGATAAAAGTATAAACAGCAATGTGCTTCTGTTACAATTTTTTTTAAGTGTGAGATTTTGAAACTGAGTCAAAATTCACTTATTTTGTTGTGGAATTCATCCATGAGCCTTGTAAATTGTTGAAAGCATAGACACACCTGAAGTTCTAACCACCTGATCACTACCTTTTAGGCTGAGCTAGGAGGTTTCCAATCGTTCTCTTGCCACATTCAACAAATGAGATTCATTTCTGAAGTCCGTTACTTGATCTAGTATTGCTGTTCTGGCAGTAAGAGAGTTAATATATCCAGGCAAAGTTCATTCTGTGTTCCTGAAATAACTCTGAGCTGACACTGGTGAATGAAAGCAGTTTCAGTGCAGACTGATGAGGCTGATTAGACATGAATTCCTTACTGTATAGTTCCACCGTTCCCCACACCATTGTTATTCCCTCAGGAAACGGTTGGATGATCCCACATAATGCCACTCCCTGGTCAACCTGTTGCAACACTACCTGCTTCCTGTCTGCTTCTTTTCATGCTGCTGGATACCTTTCTCAATCAGTTAGGAGCTCCCCTTATAGCTTGGGAATTATAATCACTTTGCAATAGAGTCGCACTGGCTAAGTAGGTTCTAACTCTACTTTGTGATGAGTTGCCTGTTACAGGATACAGTGTTGAAGAGTCACAGAGTCCCTAGTGTGGAAGCAGGCCATGCAGCCAATGAAGTCCACATTGAGACTCTGAAGATGCCATCAGTAACCAGCCCCCTACCTGTATCCCTGTAACTCCACATTTCGCATGGCCAATCCACTTAACCTGCACATTTTTGGACTGTGGGAGGAAACTGGAGAACCCGGAGGAAACCCACGCAGACACGGGGAGAATGTCTGTGTGGAATTTGCACAGTCACCGGAGACTGGAATGAAATACAGGTCCCTGGCACTGTGAAGGCAGCAGCAGTGCTGTCCACTGAGCCACCATGAGGGGGGAGGGAGGGTGCAAAAATGTGTTAGTAGTCCTGGGTTGTGAAAAACAAAATTAACCAGAATTCTTGTTACTACTGCGCTATAATCCCTTAGTAGAAGTGTTCATATAAAATTACAAGTCTGGCACCAACATGTTATTGCCGCTTGGGGGGCTGCTATCTGGCAAATACACTTTCAAAACTGAAATCACCTTAGATGACATGATACCACAGCTGGCCCTGAATTACAGTCATTGGGGAGCCCAATACTGAGCAATTACAGCAGGGACTAACACTTGGCAACTTACCATCCTTACAATTAAAACAGATTTTGTTTAAAAATAAGTATTTCCAAAAGCCTGTCTAACCCAATAATGGGAAGGACAAATTCACAATGCACCAATACTCTACATATTCCTCCATCTTCACCTTCTCACCATCTCCACCTTGATGCGACTACCATGAAGCCATGTTGTTGAAGGTCTTTTCTCAAGGAGCTATCAAAGGTGAACACACCAGGTGTGGGACATGGCAGCCACAGTGAAACTCATTAAACATTCGAATAAAATTGTGAAAATGCGATCAAAGTCAAATGTAAAACATATTTTGTAGACTTAAAGGTTTCCTGAACATCAGAGAAAAGGGGAAAATAAACTTCAGTCTTCAAATACTGCCTGCTAAGCAGAAGACAGGACACGTTGGAAATACATCAGAGACTTGCCGTTTTTGAGGGTGTTTTATCTAAAAAAGGAAGGAACCGTGAACAATGCACATTGTATGAGAGGTCAGTGTATCAGTATAGCGTTGCACTTGAATGAAAAACCGTACGTTCAGGAATTTTTGACAGCCTTTTTAGCATTTAGCGAAAAGTGCAATAAGATACATTTACATAAAAATCATTCAAATGATGATTCTGAATGAGAACATCTGGTAGTAATTTACTCCTGACTTCGTGTGTATTGACGCAACCTTCCAGGTATAATGTAATGCCTGACTATAAAATAACTTCTCTGACTGAGTGGCTCAGCAGTTTTGGCATTAGGATTCTGATGCTAATTGTCTTAAAACAAAAATGTCATTTCCAACTCTTGGCTAATCCACCCCCTCCCCCCCGTAAAAAAAAATCAAAGTACGACTGTGAAAACAGCCTTCAACAGTCAAACTCACCTGCAATTCCCTGTAGTAATCCACAAATGTTAAAAATGCTTTTCTTCAGAATACTCTGCACACACATGGTAAAGACTGAGATAAATGCCACGGCACACAGAATGAGAATTCCTGTCGCCAGGAAAATAGCCGTCGCTTGCCAAAATCCACTGGCAATTTCATTGAAGCTTTCAGCGTATGGACCACACGGGTTCCCTCGTTTTAAAGTTGGCCGTTTGATGCAGCGGCTGTATATACCCAGTTTTGGGTGGTAAGGATCTTTCCACGTGTTGGAGCGGTTCGCGAGGACGGGGGTGTTGTCAACTTTCGGCCTCCCCACCAGCCAGTCTGAGCTCATGAAGGCAATGAGCTCAGCAAAGGCTACCACAATACTCAGCAAGGTCCACAGCATTGAGCGACAGGTAACAATCACATGACACATGGTTTAATCCAAACTGGTGCAAAGCCCTTTCCCTCAGTCCACTCAAAGTAGGAGTATTGAAGCTAAACGAAAGGGTGAAAGTTGTCCTGCAGCACTGTTAAGACGGAGACCCACTGATGAAGTAAATCCTTACTTCAAACGACTGCCACGTCAATTACTTTTTAACTGCGTTCATCAAACAGCTGGTGAGACTGTGCTGTCCTGTGTAGGCTGATTCCTTTGAGCTAACTTTCAATGGGTTTGTGTGTCTTTATCAGTGTGCAGCTCAGCACATGACGTTACATTTCACTGGAGGACGGTCCAAGTCTGCCCACAATCTTGCTCATATCTATACAAAAGACACACCTACAAGGAAGAGAGAGAGAGAGAGAGTCAAAGCTAAATTAGTAAAACGAAGCCCCAACCTGAGAGGAAATTGACCACTTTTTAAATCCTGAACTAATACATAGTAAAGGTTAATGAGAGACCAGCAAATGGAGTTGGCTGGAAACTTCTAAGATCAAACTGTGTTCTATGCTTCCTTTGTTGCTGGGCAACGACAGGTCTCTGCTGCAATAGAGATTAGTACATGACAGAAACTCAATTCCAAAAACAGATTTTCCCTCGTTATTTTCAGTCCTGCATTTCGGGGTTAAATAGTTGTACTTTATCAGAGAGAGAGAGAGACAGCATATGAATGAGAGAATGTTCCTTTCTATGGATCCACTCACTATGTCAACGAATTGCTCTCAGCCTCTCTTTCTTGTGATCGTATTCAGTGAAAAAGGCTAGAGTTCACGAGAGGAAATTCTCTCAAGGTTTCACTTTGGCTATGCTTAAAGAGGAAGGCGAGAATCTCAGGAGTATTCTTTATCCAAAGCACGCCCTCATTTTAGACAGAAATAATTGGAAACATTTGTTGGCACTGATTTTGTTCAGTTAGTCTCTTATTTTACAGGGATACCCCAGGATCTAGATTAGTGTTCCGTGCTGTTTCAGAGACCAGGCTGCCAGTCGCTTGCATTCGGAACTGCTCTAGAACATGGGACCACGCCCACGATTATTCCCCCATTCCTCCCAAAAAATCTGCAAATCAATGCAAGCTGAGAAATAAAAAACATTTCTTTAGTTGGTGCCTTATTTTTCTACTTAAAATGAGGAAGAATTCTGACACAGGAGCTGTCCCCATATCCTGTGTTGTCCTTCCAGGAAAGTTCTTATGAGAAATATTGATTTTCTTTTCCCCCTTTTTCCCTCCTTTTCCCTCCCCTGGTTATTCTGTCTGAGGCTGGGTTACAGTTTCTTAGACAATGATCAACCTCTGCAACTGTACTTCATTCTTCACACATGCTCCAGGCAGTTAGTATGAGCAGACTTTTGGATCTTAAAGGGAAGTGCAGTTCAGCCCACTTCTTGGGCTGGCTGCTTAATAATAGGCAACAGTAGGATTTTCTCCTGTCCAAGGATAAGTTCAGATGAGTTTAACTGAATCATAGAATCCCTACAGTTTGGAAGCAGGCCATTCAGCCCTATCAGGTCCACACCAACCCTCCAAACAGCATCTCACCCACTCCCACTCCCCAAACCTATCCCTATTACCCTGCATTTCCCATCCCGAATCCACCTAACCTGCACATCTTTGGACTGTGGGAGGAAACCAGACCACCCAGAGGAAACCCATGCAGACACAGGGAGAACTTACCAGCCACAAATGAACGGTAGAGTAGACTCAATGGGCTGAATAGCCTAACTTCTGCTCTTATGTCTTACGGTCTAACATGCGAACCCTACACAGACAGTTACCCGAGGGTAGAATCAAACCCGGATCCCTGGTGCTGTGAGACAGCAGTGCTAACCACTGAGCCACTGTGTCAACCCTGACTCCGCAAAGAAAAGGGTTTTGTCCTGGGGCTTCCTGTACAATGCATCTGAACAAAAAAAACTTGGCAGACTTTCATGCTAAGGTTCCCCATCACAGTAAAAAACTAAACAGAGGGAACGTAGAAGTATATTTTGAAAAGGGCTTCTCTAAACTATTCCCTGAAGTACAACACTAACTGTTCCTCAAGGGCAATCAGGGATGGGAGTCAAATGCTGGCCTTTGTAGCTTTGCCTATATCACAAGGATCAATTAAAAAACTTGCAAACAATATAAATCCAAACTTTTTCATTCCACTTCAACTAAGTTTCTTGATAAGACTGGCACCAAAACGGTTAACTCACAGCAGTAAAGACAGTAAACATTTAACTTTAATGGGACTATTGTTAACTTGACATCAAAAATGACCTGATAAGATCTGTTTGACAGCCAAACAGAGGAACTCAGTATACAATTACAAGCAGAATACCAATGTTGGCAAGACAAACATCACAAACTGAGTTCAAACTTAACCTTGGAGAAACAATTTATCATCCTTCTCCTCTTCTATGGTTTACAGCATAGATTCTCAAGCTTATAAAGGGCTCAGTGAGGGTTGAGGTTATCAGGCGAACATAAGAACTAGGAGCAGGAGTAGGCAATTCAGCCCCTCGAGCCTGCTCCATCATTTAACACAATAACGGTTGATCTCATCTCAGCTTCAAATCCTCTTTCCTGCCCACTCTCTATAACCCGTTGTTAATTACAAATCTGTCTATCACCCCTTTAAATTTACTCAATGTCCCAGCATCCTCCACATTCTGGGGTACTGAATTCCACAGATTCATGATCCTTCGACAGAAGTAACTTCTCCTCATCTGCTAGCCCTTAACCTAAACTATAACCTCTCATTCTAGATTGCCCCACACAAGGAAACATCCTTTCAATGTCTACTTTGTCAATCCCTTTATACCTCAATTCAATCTCCTCTCCTACAGGCCCAAACTGCTCAATCTCTTCATATGACAAACCTCTCATCTCTGCAACCAATCTTACTCTGAATTGTCTCCAAAGCAACTACATACCTCAAGCAAAGGGATTAAGATTGTATGCAGTACTCCGGGTGTGGTCTCACTAATGCCTTGTACAATTGCATTGTTACTTCCCTACTTTTATACTGTATTCCTTAGCAATAGATGCCAAAATTCCACTTCCCTTCCTATTATCTGCTGTACTTGCAGGGCAGAGGTGTATGCTTCAAGTGGTCTGCATGTTTACCAAAGCATCATTGACCAAATGTGGACAGTACATTAGCACCCCTTGATCCTGTTTTTGGGTAAAATTACAGCTTCTTAGAATCAGATGGATCATAATGACCCCTCTTGAGACAGGTCTGGAGGCAGGCCGGGGGTGTGGGGAAAGACATTCATCAGATGGTAGAGTGCCAGTTTGGGAACCCTCTAGCTTTCTGTCTGTGCTCCAATGAAGTCTGCGGCTGGATGGTTTGTTGATGTCCTCTGATAATAGTGGTGCTTTAATATTATGTGGCATGTATGTTTCTTGCCACTTATCAGCCCAAGCCTGGATTTTGTCCACGTCTTGCTGCATGTGGACACAGGCTGCTCAGTGGCTGAGTCGTTGCAAATGCTGCTGTATGTTATGCAATCCTCAGCAAATATCCCCACTTCTGAACCTACAGTGGAGGGTGGGTCATGAAGTAAACAACTGAAGATGGTCCAGGACAATATCCTGAGCAACTCCTTGCCATGTATGACTCCAACCAGCAGGCAGTTTCCCCTGACTCTTATTGACTCTGGTTGTGCTAGGGCTCCTTGATGCTACACTCAATCAAGTATCATGTTTGTGTCAAGGGTAGTCACTCTCAGAGTCATTGAGTCACACAGCACAGAAACAGACCCTTCAGTCCAACTTGTCTGCACTGACTAGACTTCCCAATCTGAACTAGTCCCATTTCCCAGCATTTGGCCCATATCCGTAAGACCATAAGACACAGGAGCTGAAATTAGGCCATTCAGCCCATTGAGTCTACTCTGCCATTCAATCATGGCTGATAAGCTTCTCAACCCTATTCTCCTGCTGTCTCCCCATAACCTTTGATCGTTTTAACAATCAAGAACCTATCTATCTCCGTCTTAAATGTACTCAATGACCCGACCTCCACAGTCTTCTGTGGCAATAAATTCCATAGATTCACCACTCTCTGGCTGAAGAAGTTTCTCCTCATCTCCATTCTAAATGTCTTGCCTTTACTTTAAGGCTGTGCCCTCAGGTCCTAGTCTCTCCTACTAATGGAAACATCTTCCCAACATCTGCTCTATTCAGGCCTTTCAGTATTCTGTAAGTTTCAATTAGATACCCCCTCATCCTTCTAAACTCCATTGAGTATGGATCCAGAGTCCTCAAATGTTCCTCATATGTTAAACCTTTCATTTCTGGGTTCATTCTCATGTACCTCCTCTGGACCCGCTCCAGGGCCAGTACATCCTTCTTGAGATATGGGGCCCAAAATTGCTCACAATACTCTAAATCTGGTCTGACCAGAGCCTTATAAAGCCTCAGAAGTATATATTTATTTTCTAGTCATCTCAAAATAAATGCCAACATTGTATTTGCCTTCCTAAAACTACTGACTCAAACCAGCAGGTTAACCTTCAGAGAATCCTGGACTAGGACTCCCAAGTCCATGTGCACTTCTGATTTCTGAATTTTCTCCCCATTTAGAAAATAGTCTATGCCTCTATTCTTTCTACCAAAGTGCACGGCCTCTCACTTTCCCATGTTGTATTCCATCTGCCACTTCTTTGCCCACTCCCCTAACCTGTCCAAATCCTTCTGCAGCCTCCCACCTTCTCAATACTACCTGTCACTCCACCTATCTTTGTATCATCTGCAAACTTAGCCAGAATGCCCTCAGTTCCTTCATCTAACTCATGAATGTATAAAGTGAAAAGTTGTGGTCCCAACACTGTCCCTTGCAGAGCATCATTAGTCATTGGCTGCCAGCCTGAGGAGGACTCTTAACTACACTCTCTGCTTTCTGCCAGACAGCCAATCTTCAATCCATGATAGTACCTTGCCTCTAACACCATGGGCCCTTATCTTACTCAGCAGCCTCCTGTGCGGCACCTTGTCAAAGGCCTTCTGGAAGTCCAAGTAGATAACATCCATTGGCTCTCCTTGGTCTAACTTGCTCATTACTTCCTCAGAGAATTCTAACAGATTTGTCAGGCATGACCTCCCCTTGATGAAGCTGTGCTGACTTTGCCCTGTTTTACCATGCACTTACAAGTATTCAGAAATCTCATCCTTCAAAATGGACTCCAAAATCTTACCAATGACCGAGGTTAGGCTAATCGGCCTGTAATTTCCTGTCTTTTGCCTTACTCCCTTCTTAAACAGGGGGTTACATTTGTGATTTTCCAGTCCTCTGGGACCCTCCCTGACTCCAGTGATTCCTGAAAGATCACAACTAATGCCTCCACTATTT